AAAAAAAAAAAAATAAAAATGATGAAAAGAAATAAAGTATGAAGTATGGATAGTATGTATATTATCTTTGGGTAAACTGTTCTCCCTTACTCATCGTACGACTACAAAGTATGAATCAGTTCTGCTATCGGTGAAAATGATTGTATGAATGTATGTGTTGTTGCTAACGCATATATACATGCTGAGTGGGGCAATGTATAAATGTATGCGTTGTTGCTAACTGAGTGGGGCAAATGGCTTGATATCTCAGTYTACGTCCGATAGAAGGCGTGTTATAGTCTTTTAAAATTATTCTTACATATAAAACGTAATTGTATTCTTTCGAACATGTATGGAAAATTAGAATAATTCCTTTTGTGCAAATATCTTTCATTTTATGTGATTACTTTATTATTTTTAACAAATAGTATATTAAATATAAAATATAAAATATACTATTATATATAAATAGTATATAATTAAGTTTTAATAAATAATAAATATTAAATAATTTTAATTATATTTAATTAATAAATATTAAATACCATATTTACTATTTAATAAATAGTATATCTGCAACAAAATATGGGTGTCGTAGATATAGACAAAATAAGAGGAGCATTGTTAAGCATGGGATATCGTCCCAAAGAATCATATTTAGAAGCTATCATTATGGAGACTAATCATTCGTTAAGTAACGCAAATGAAGCCGTAATGTTTTTGGCTCAAACAGCTCACGAAACTGGTGGATTTCGATACATCGAAGAAATAGCATACGCTGGAACTGATGAAATTGCTTATGAATATGGTTGGGGTGCACCGGGAAAATCTTATCATGGGAGAGGATTTATTCAATTATCATGGCCCGGTAATTACGAACAGGCTTCATTAAGCTTAGGATATGGTTATAAATTGTATGAAAATCCTGAGCTTGTATCAAAAAATGTTAAACTAGCTGCAAAAATATCAATGTGGTATTGGAAAACAAAGGTTAGACCTGTTGCTGGTGATATGAGCAAATTTGGATTGACAACTAAAGCAATTAATGGTG